AACATGGATTTGCGTAACTAAACGCCTCCGGGCGGGGACCGCAGGTGTCACTCTCTCCGCAAATCATCGCATCATGGACAAGCCTTTGCTCTCCCCCATTCATGAAACATATCCGTTCCTTTCCCAAACCACACCATTCATTCAAACAAAGTGCCATAATTATGCTCGAGTTATCACTTGTAATGAAATCCATCTTGTCCGACCAGAGCGAGCGACGACTCTGGATTATGTACCATGGTTGAAAGAGTCGACAGGGCTTCATCGCATCAGCGCTCCGTTCTTGGCAGACTTCACACCGGCAAAATCTACCTGACCCTTTCGTTCGTCATGTGCCACGCCAACAAACCTGTTCAGTCCACGCAACTCGCAAAAAATGTTGACTTTGCGGGGGGGACTCTCGGCCCACAAACACTAATTCCGCTTTTGCTTCGGTTTTTGCTATCGCGCCATCCGTAACCCCTTGAGTCGTGAGAGTTTCCTCATCCCCGACTCTCTTAGCAATATCAGTAGGTAATAGCGAGTTACTGTTTTGCTCTTAAATGGCAAATATACACATCAACTTAGAATCATATGGCATTTTCTCTTCGACCGATGAAGAAATGTCTGGCACGGTCCCTCAACGCCCTGAATTGCGCAACTCTACAAAGTATCAACTCATGTGTGTATCATGTAAACAACTCTGGGATGCCCTGACTGCAACCAAAGCTGTGCTATTTCCAGAGAAAGCCCCCTAAATCAGACTCTCGTACTTATCCAACCCGCTCTTCTGCTGGGGCTTCTGCTGCTGTTGCTGCTGCTGTTGCTGAAGGCCAGCCACGCCGTTCATACCCATGTTACTATTCATCATACTATTCATGCTGCCGCTAGACGCCATGCTCATACCCATACCAGGCCGCGAGCCCATACTGTTCAGGCCATTCATCGATTGTTGACTCATCATGCCCATGCCAGTGCTAGCTACAGGTTTGCTGAAAGCGCTCAAGCCTGATTGCACAGGCGGCGTGTGACTGGGAGGCGGCGGTAGGCTAAACCCGGAAGATCCGGAAAAGCCACCCGTCGAATTACCGGCGGGCGGTGGCGGCAGGGAAAACGAAGATGACTGTGACATGCCTGGTCTTTGCCCACCGAGCGACATGTTGGACATGGGCGTACTCATTCCACCAAAAGCGGAGCTCGGAGGTGGCGACATGGAGTTACCGGCCGAGAAGGCCGGCGTCGATGTTGACGACGACGACCACGGATTAGAAGTTGCTGCCGATGCCGTGGACCAGTTGATGGATGAGCTGGGCTGTGCCGCTGGCTGCGACATTGGCGAAGTTGGCTGCAGAGGTTTAGAGAATTGAGTCGATGTTGGAGTCATGGCTTGGAAAGAACCCATGTCAGGCGTCACCGTCCGGAAACTAGGTTGAGGCTTAGGCGCTGGAGGTGGTGCTGTCTGAGTAGGACTCGGAGTTGACCACGCAAAGGCCGGAGTTGCTGACCTACTCCCGGGCGCGGGCGAGGTAACTCTGGCTGCCGCAGCGGGTGTCTCTTCCCAGCTAGAGAATGCATCCGAAGTTGACGTTCGTGTCGTTTTGCCCTTGACAAGGCTCTCAAAATCGTCTTCTGTCGCTCCATTGGAGGCATCAAAAGAGGTCCCACTGACGCCGCCAAAGGCCATGAAGTCCTCATTAGCCCCGGCAGTGCTGCCGTTGGTACCAGAGAGCTCTTGCAACTTCCTAGTCTGTTCGTCTTCCACTCTTTTGGATAACTTCTTGATAAGGTCCATGAAGCTCTGGAACTGTTTGAGATTGAGCAAAGGGCCGAGACTCATATGCCACAGAATGGGAAGGATGTCAATCGCCACAAACTCGGCATCGGCTGCTTCACCTACAACTCGCAGAACGCCGTGGGCTGCCATCATGACCGCAGGCTCTTTCGTTTTGATAGCCTTGATCAACGGAATGATCTTCTCCTGCATGGTGTATTTATCCAGCATGCTAGAGGACGAAGTTGATTTCTTCTTTGAAGTACCGAAAGCATCGAGGCCATCGTCTTCCGCGTCGGATGTTCCGCCACACAGGACGACGAATGCTTGGCAGCCGCGCACCTTGATGGCCAAACTACTCGTTTTGCTAAACACGGCCGCAATGACTGGGAATAGCTCATTCTTGATGGTGCTAAAGTCGAGAACTGGTAGAATAGAAGGTAGACCTCTCAGGGCCGCGTCAACAACGGCCGGTGTTGGTGCTTCGATTGCTGCGTAAACAACGGGCAAGATATCTAAATAGCTGTCAGTATGTCCCGCTAGATATTTTCATGTTGTGGGTGTTGTTACCATCAGTGAATTCCTTGCCATTGCAGTTGTTGCAGATTGTAGACATGTGTTCGAGCACAACCATCAACCCAGCATCCTTCGTCGGGTCCCTCTCAGGAGCCTGGTCCTTCTTCGGGGGTGGGGCAAATGTTGCTTTCAATGCTGGCCGTACTTTTTCGGCAAACACCCTCCTCGCAGAGGGTAGTAAATCAACGATGGTGAAGACGTTTTGAAGAATCAACGCTATAAGATCCTTGTCTTTCATCTCTTCAAGCAATGCTGGTAATAACTTCTTCTCCATAACAGTCTTGGGGAATGAAGGCATAACCTTGACTAGTCCCCTCATGAACTGAGCCTTCTCGTTTGGAGTCTTTGCTGGGAAAGCGTCCAGAAACCTGATTGTCGAAACAAGCACGTTGTTGAAGTATTCACTTTCTTGAAATTCCTTTGCTGTGAGACGCTGAGCAGGTCGTCGTGTTATCAGGCGCGGCAAAACATGTTGAACCAGCTCCTTGGGTAAAGGTCGTGATGATAAGAATTGGTTGGTAGCAGACGGTACTGTGGATGACGAGGCGAATGTTCTCTTGTATGTTGATAAGCTGCCGTGAGCTTCGATGGGAGACTGATGTGGTGAGTTGTAAAGGGCCACGGCTAGGAGACCTAATGAGAACATGTCGGCAAAGTGGGTAAAGTTGTTGTCAATGACAAAGTCGGGAGAGGTGTAGTCGAGGTTCAGCTGCACGAAACGAGGCAGTCGAGGGTCTGGGTTGAGCACCTCTGACAGGCTGATGGGTTGAAAGGAGGTCGGCTTGTTGGACCCCTCTGACGGCGCGCAGAAAGCGAGACCACTGATTTTCCAATCGGACTGTTTCGAGTCAGCAACAGTGCATGGTTATCAAGACCAATAGGCTGCACTGACCTTGGCGTTCACGATGATGGCGTCTGGTGTCAGGTTTCCGTGCACCAACCCAGCGTTCTCGTGTAAGAACTCCAGAGCTTTGCTAATTTGCAAGAGACCCTTCTGGATCTCGAGCTCGTCAATCTCCAACTCGCGCCGCCGGCGCACACCATCAGAATCTTCGGTGACATAACGACTCGACCGGCCGCCAACCCCACCACTCCGTTCCTGGTCGTCCTTCTCTTGCAGCAGAGCCGCCAGAGAGCCCGTGACAGCTTCCGTGACGAATTGTAGTCCACCACCTCTTGTTTCTTCCACTGGCTCGACGAGCTCGAGAACACTCGGGTGTCTCAGCTTCGCCAAGCTGGAGGCTTCCTTCTTCAGGCGCTCGATAACCTCCTCAGTGGCTCGCTTGAAGGCGGACGCGCTTGATCTGCCTAGACTGCTTCCATGGTTGTCGAGCCCCTTCTTGTCAAACACAAATACGCTGTATGGTTTTCCGGTAGACTTCTTCTTGCAGTCGTAAATCTTCCATGGGCCGGCGAACGAGGTCTGGGTCGAGGAGATGGAGTAGTTCGCGGTGATGTTGGTCGATGATATCGACTTGAGTGCCGAGGAGAACATGGTTGTGGTATGTCTTATAACGTGGGTCGTCTACGTCGTCGTCAAGGCGGAGGAAACGGAACTTGAGGGAACTCGATCGTCATGACGGTCTGGAGGCAGATATGGGGTTTGCGCCAAGTCGGGACGTTCGTCAAGTCAATCGCGCCCACACTCAGAAGGAGGAACGTAGTCTTTGACCACGAGCGATGTAGGTGGTGGAGGGTACCGTGGAGGGGACACTTTGGAAATGTCAAGAGGGACCTCCGACGAGGCTTAATCGAGGAAGCTTCCGGAGATGCGCCGGGAGTTGGTATGGACTTGAATTCAATAAAAGACAGCAGACGCAGGGCGCAGTGACATGAAATTGGCAAGTTGGCCCAAAGATGATGTTCTCGTTCAGCCGCGTCGACTTCCACGTCGCTGATAGGCAAGAGCGTCTCAAGTCCAATCAAAATGACCATCCATGCTTTTTAGCGATGATCCCACAGTTGCCAGTGCCCACCCCTGCGTCTAAGGTAAGGTAAGGTAAGGCTCGGCTTCAAATAAGTTGGGCACACCTTTACCTGCACTGAGATTGGGGGCGCCCACCTTCTGATCGCAGCTTAGGGGAAGCACAGAAGACACTGAACCAATTGGATGGCTGACCTAAGCTACGGAGAAGGTCTTCCATTTGGGACAGCTTGGCTCTATACATAGGTACCTGGTAGGTTTCCTTACATCATCCCCACCATCTTGAAATCAGTACCTGACAGGTACGTATTGCGTGCTGACCATGCTGCCATGCACCTGCTGCACCTCAGATAGCGGGACGCTTCCGGAGCCGGGACCCTGAACGAACAATTTTGGATCTCTGGATCTGGCGGCGCATGGAAAGCAACGGCTTAGAAGTCCGATAACGCTCCGAAATCCTGACTCTTGCCGCACCCTACACGCCATCCTCAAATTGCGCCCTTCGCCCTACTACACTTGTCTGTCCTTTATCAAGCATTGGATTGGTCAATTGGTTCACCGTTGACCGCAATTGAGGATTTGGTATCTCGGTTTCCTTTTGCAAAAGAGTCACACTCGCTCTCCCATCTTTGAGTATTTATCTGAGCATCTTTGTTCCTGTGTTTTAAGGTTTTGAGAAAATCCTCAACCTCCTCCTTTTTTCTTCACTTTCTGCTTTATACCCAAACCAAAACACCAAACAGACCGATCGCCATGATGCGCCAGTTCTTCCCCCGCGCCGCCGGCGCTCTCAGAGTCCCCCGCAGCTCTCCCAGATTAGCCACCGCATGGCAATCAGCAAGACTCTACAGCGTCAAGCCCGCCGCCGCCTCTGCGGCCAAGCCTCTGGGCCTCGATGCCTCAAAACTCACCATTGAGAAGACAAAGACTCCCGGAACGCTGGGCAACCCCGAGGAGCTTGTCTTCGGCCGCAAGTTCACTGGTCAGTCAACTGCCTCCTCTCCCAACTCCCCATCACTCAATGTTGCAATTGCTGACCGTTTATCGCAGACCACATGCTCACCATTGAGTGGAATCAAGAACAGGGCTGGCTCGATCCCAAGATCGTCCCCTACCAGAACCTCTCCCTCGACCCCGCGACCTGCGTCTTCCACTACGCCTTTGAGTGCTTCGAGGGCATGAAGGCCTACAAGGACAAGTCCGGCCAGGTCAGGCTCTTCCGCCCCGACAAGAACATGGCCCGCCTCAACAAGTCCGCCGCCCGCATCGCCCTGCCCACCTTCGAGCCCACCTCCCTCATCGAGCTCATCTCCAAATTCGTCAACCTCGACAAGCACTACATCCCCGACGAGCGCGGCTACTCCCTCTACCTCCGCCCAACCATGATCGGCACCCAAAAGACCCTCGGCGTCGGTCCCCCCGGCTCCGCCCTGCTCTACGTCATCGCCTCCCCCGTCGGCCCCTACTACCCCACCGGCTTCAAGGCCGTCTCCCTCGAGGCCACCGACTACGCCGTCCGCGCCTGGCCCGGCGGCGTCGGCGACAAGAAGCTCGGCGCCAACTACGCCCCTTGCATCGTGCCCCAGCTCGAGGCCGCCAGCCGCGGCCACCAGCAAAACCTGTGGCTCTTTGGCGAGGAGGAGTACGTCACCGAGGTCGGCACCATGAACATGTTCGCCGCCATCAAGAACAAGGAGACAGGCCAAAAGGAGCTCGTCACCGCCCCTCTCGACGGCACCATCCTGGAGGGCGTCACGCGTGATTCCGTCCTGTCTCTCGCCCGCGAGAGACTCGTGCCCGAGGGCTGGATGGTCTCGGAGCGTAAGTACACCATGAAGGAGCTCGACGAGGCGGCCGAGGAAGGCCGCCTCATTGAGGCCTTTGGTGCCGGTACCGCTGCCATTGTCAGCCCTATCCGCACCATTGCCTGGAAGGGCAAGTCCATCAACTGCGGTCTCACCGAGGCCGAGGAGTCTGGCGAGATCACCCTAAGAATTAAGGGCTGGATGGAGGCAAGACAGTATGGCGACGAGGAGCACGAGTGGAGCTACATTGCTCCGGATGTTGCTGCATAAATTTGGTTGTCAGCACGGCATGTAGACTTGTAGATATCCAACTGGAAAGCGTGCAATATGATTGTTAAAAAGAAAAAGGCTGGATTTCAATTTTGGTAGTGAATGAGTTTGGCATCGGCGATAACCCACCGCCCTCCTTCTATGATTGATTAGATTCATTTCTTGGGCTACATCAATCCGTGTTGAAACGACGGCCAAAGGTTCGATAAGAACAAGTAGCTTACCAGAAGAGGTCACATTAGTAGCTTTCCTCAATATTCACTTGCTAAAGCTCCATTGGCGCCATTGGATGTCTTCCTCGCTATACACACTCAACAATATCAAATGCTGAGTTTCGAGGTATTGTCACGAAGCTCCGTAGCCCTATGCCATGCGTCATCAATAGCAAATCTAGTCATTGCAGAAGGCTCACGAAGATCGAAAGGCCCTCACGGGGTTGAGTAAAAAAAGGGCGGTGAAAAAAAAGGAAAGCTAGTTCAAGGGCAGGTCATATACACTTTTCCCCAGGGAAATAGAAAGAGACACCGTCGCCGTGAGAAGTTATCGGCAGCGAGCTTGCTTTCCCCTTCTGTGGAAATATTTCTTTCTCTCCCTGTTTCTCCGCTCCATCCTTTCTCTAGAACATCATCTTCCATCCTCGCGGCTCGGTTTTCCTTGTGTCTTCCGTTCCGTTCCTTTCTAAGGTGATATGTCTCTCAAAAAACCAAGCTCCAGGTAAAGAAAAAAGTTGATTCAGTGGTTTGTTCATGGCAAGTGGTCGCAGAAATTGGCTTTTTTTCCATTTCACTTCTCGGGGTCCGGCAGGATGCCCTCCTTTTCTAATCTCCGCCTGGCCTCCTCGAGGGCCCAGGTATCGAGTCTGTAGTGCGGGCAGGTAATGTTAGCCACAGATCAAACAATCCTAATGTCTAAATTGCCTCATCCCGGCACAACCGATATTGAGAGCACCCTGAGCCTTTCAAGTTCTATTCGATGCATTCCATATCGACGGATCTATGCGGCGGAAGGAGTGGCCACTCACGAAGTATCAGGCTTGAAAGCAAGGACAACGCCAGTGGCGATGATGCCTCCGCAGAACAGGGTGTAGAAAGGCGTCTCCCAGCCCTCCTTCTCGTACTTCTCACCGGGCTTGACGCCCCAGAGCCAGCCAGAAGGGGGATCAAAGTCGGAACCGCCACCAGCGCGACGGGCCGTTACGGAGAAAGCCCTCGTGGTCGGGGCAGCGGCCGCAGAGGTCTTGATGGCGCGGGCGGCGCGGATGGCCGCGGTCGGTCGTATCGCCGTCATCGTCGGGTCGGGAAGAAAGGTAGTTTCCTTTTTCGAGAGAGGAGCGAGTGGAAGGTAAGGACGTCTCAATTGACGTATTTTCGGTGATGGGTGAGGGGCGGATGGGGGTTGCGTTCGCGGGCGCGCGGTACTTCGGCTGTTGAGTCGTTTGGCACTCACGGGTGAGGTTGTTGGATTGGAGTTGGATTCTCGGACCCATGTCGGGATCGTTAGTCATCTAAGATCACGTGCTCATTGCCGACTCCACCCGATCCGCTGCCGCTTCGAGCAGCTGAACCCCGGCAAGTGCTTGCCTCTTTCGTCATTCAACGGGATGGTCCTGAACACTGACGGAAGCATTTGATGGCGTGAATGGGTTCCGTAGTTATTGTTGTTCTGATGTCAAGTTGCGTCAGAACCTCTCCGTTGAGATCAAGTTACTGAATTGTTGCTACATCTCAGCGACCATCTAATTGGTGGACAGCTCTTAGGCGATTTCCTCAAGAACCATGATTTGCAGAGTCTCGTCATGATTTGGTAATTATGTGAAATGCCATTATTGAGTTGACCTATAATTCTCTCCTTTGTCAACCCTTCGACGTCCTGAATTTCCGTCTTTGATAGTCCAACTAACGCCTAACATCTCATAATCCTAAACCAATTGCCGATACTCCAAACCGTGCGATATCCTCAATAAGCACCGTTCGTCATATCGTTAAGTATATCCCTGAGAATGACTTTATCCTTCATAAGTACCTTTTCTCCAATTCTCGCCCGCTTAGGCCCCGTTCCAAGGTTTTCTTTCCCCATGGCTAGCTTTGGGGTCTTTCTTGGACTGACGCCCTTTCTCGGACTGGTGTTCTTCTTCACCTTCATCGGAGACACACCACTGGCTGTTAACTGCGTCGCCGTGTCGTCAAAATAGTGGTTATCCAATGCGTCAGGCGGCAAGTCATATATCCAATCCTTCTCTTCCATGAGGCCGATGAACTTGCTGAGCATTTCGTCCTTTCCGCTACCCTTCAAGGTGCTCTTGCTTCCGACTACGAGTAGCTTGGTTTTGGCGCGAGTGAATGCAACGTTGATACGTCGCCAATCCTTCAAGAGTTCACCAATGCTGCAGCTCTCGTTACTCCGAACCAAGGAGAGAATTACGACATCCTTGTCTCGTCCTTGAAATCGGTCCGCGGTGTGCATTTCCACGCCCACATGTCCGCGAAGGCCATGCTTAAGCAGAGATAGTTGAGAGCGGTAGTGCGTCATCACTCCGATCTCCCCATCGGGTACACCTATTGTAAGCAGGCCCTCGACGAGTTGAACTACAATACGTGCTTCAGCCGGGTTGACAATCCGATTGCCCTTTGCCTCTTCTCTCGTAAGGGGCTGAATGGTATCAGTGTTGACGAACCTGACTCGAGCCTCGCTGTCCAGCAAGTCTCGGAGCCAGCAGCAGTTTTGGTTGATGGAAGTGCATACAGACTTCGGAGTCCCTAGTCTGAGCGTCGATGCCGAATCGTAGTGAAGGCTCTTCAGCGCATTCATGTTGGGCACATCAAGTTTCTTGAACCGAAGTTCCTCAGTACCACACCGCAGTCTCCCTTTGTAGATCAAAGTGTTGCTGAGAGTCATGATATCCTCGCACATACGGTATTGGTGCTCCAAGTTGACCACCGAATCCGGATGGGTGTCGGAGAGAAGCTTGAACAAGCTCACATCAAGCCCGCCTTCTCGGGCCTCTTCATTTTGGACTAGAGGAGGAAGCTGATTGTGATCACCAACAAGTACAAACGTCTTCGCCATCCTGATTGGTCCAAGACAAATAGGCAGCGTGATTTGAGAGGCCTCATCAACAATGCAGTAGTCGAAGGTGCGTTCGTTGAAAAGAGCATGGCCAACGCCGAGACAAGTGGTGGCAACGATGGGCGTGTCGTGCCACGCCTCCTTAATCTGCTCAAAAGAGTTCATAGGTTGACCAGCTAGGATAGCAAATTGCTGGACTTCCGGGTGGACCTTAGCTGGAGCGCCAAGTCTGAGAACCGGGGTTTGGTCATTCTTTAGCTTCAGGAGAATGTTGTCGACTGCAGTGTGTGTGTAAGAAGTAAGAAGGACGCTTTTGCCCTGAGAGACCAAGGCCCGAATGATGTGTGCAATGGTGGTCGTTTTCCCCGTGCCAGGCATGCCAAGAACTAGCGCATAGTCTTGTGCACTCATCACCTTCTCGATCGCTCGATGCTGGTCGACATTCAGAGATTCCCGATCGGCTACAACGTATTGCGTGGGTGCTGCTTTGAATCTCGGGGGTACCAAATCCACCACAGCGCGGCGGATCTCTCGAGACCCGAAGACGCCTTCCGCCATGATCTGTACAAGGTTGTTTCGGACTGTGGCCATGCCATTGCTGAACTCGTCCTTATCAAGACGATAGCGGATTGGCGCTTCCTTGATCTTGCCCTGAGATTGATCCGCGGTGCAGCCCTCAGGGGCGACCTCCATGATGCTAGCAAAAACCTGGTTGTCGTTTTCGTCAAAGCCAGGCTGTTTGATGCGGGCGTTGTGTAGGCGTCGGTCGACTGCTACGCTGATTCTCTGTTTTCGAACAGAAGTAACGTAGCCCAAGGCGAGAGCAAAGTGGCCCTGTTCATCGGAAACAACTATAGGTTCTCCAACATTCAACTGTGACTCTAGGAAAGAATGGCCTGGAGTTGCAATTCGCTTCACGAACGTGTAGTTGAACCGGTTGATCTTGGAGGTGCCCAAGTCCTCAGACGTTGAGCCCTCTTCAATGATGACGTCAGAATGGCATCTTCCCACTTTCTCTCGGTCCTTGCTGACCATCGTCCAGAGTTCTCTCTTCAGCTTCTGTGTCTCTTTCTCCTCTTTCGTCAACAGATTCTCCCATTTGAGGAAGAACTTTTGGTGCTTTGGCGTAAGGTGCTTGACAACCTCGTCGAATTGCTTGTCCATGCCACTCGTCTCTCCATCGCCGTCGTCGGCGAGCTTGTGGTAAATGAAGCAAGACGTCTTCGCATAGCACTTTCCACACATGTTCTTGCTCCTCTTCATAGGAGGCAGCTGAACACTCCGCTCTCGAATATGACAGGCTAGTTGATTTCGCTGCATGATCATATGGCGTAGCTCGTGTCGGATGGTGGGAATGCGCATTGTTTGCGACGTTTCCATGTAGTAGAGAATGCCATAAACGATGTTCAAATCGTAACGATCGGAAAGCAACAGGTTATAGAGCGCAGTCTGCGCCATGTGATTGCTGTTGGCATGTTTGCCCGTTTTGACTTCGAATGGGACTGTCAGCGTTTTGGTATCCTTGCCGTCCTCCAAGGTGATTTGAACGGTAGCATCGATGTTGCCCTTCAGTCCGTACATGGGCGACCAAACATGCTCCTCGACATCGAGCAGTTTGCTGACGCACATGCTGGCTTTCTTGCCATTGCGGTCGAGGACAACAGCATCGAGCTTTTGCTAACATTAGCGACTATCAGGAGAGAGGAAGATATGACATACATTCGGCTGAGAGGCTACAAAAGCCGTGGCCCAGCAGCTCAACTCCGTCATCTTCGACTGGAGATGTTCCCTAGCGATGCTGGTGCTGACTTTGATCTTGTACAAGTCCTCAATGTGCTTCTCCATGACTCTGTCAATGACACCACTGAGGTACCGAAGATCCCATTGATTCGCCATCAGAGCCTCTTGAAAGATTTCATGCAACATCGTTCCGT